TAGAGCAAGGGTGGGACAGAATGTTTTACAGAGGGGCTCTGTATGTCACACAACTGCACATAGTATACGGCTCATCTCTAAGCTAGGGTTCCGGCTTAATGTTGATTTCCACATGTACAATGAATAGTAGTAGATCCATCTGCTGTCTGATGATGCCTCCATAGTTACAGCACCAACTTCACTAGGACGAGCCGGAGATGTTGCATCAGCAAAGCCTCTCTCCTCTAGCCCCAAGGTAAGCAACCACTAAAACAATGGTCTTTTTAGCTGTTAGTAAATGGGTCCTTCTCCCACATACAATAAATCTACATGGTCCTCAATCTAAGGGGGGGGGGGCTTCGTTTTTAAGTTTTATTAAAGGCATTTGAACTTGAATGGAGTAAGCACTGTATGGGATGCCCAAGTGAACAGTAAACTGATGACAATTTCCTGTCAACTATGTATACGTCTTTACAGCAAAAAGTTTCTTTCCTTGAAAGGTCTCCAGCCTTTCCCAGTGTACCACCCCCCAAACCCCAGATGAATCCTCTTCTCATCCAGATATCTGGAGGAAATCCCTGAGTGCCTGCCCTTTAAATTGAAACAGTCCAGACAAGGAGCTAGTCAGCTTTCCCATCAGAATGCCCCTTTCCCCTTAACTGGCCCAGGGGTGTAGGATTACTCACTCATCTGCTCCTGTGTGCTTGTTGGGTTGCTAGCTGCCTTCAGGCCTTCTGATGGGCTGGATCCTTCCCTGCTCCACAGGTGGTCCTCTCTTAGGGGACTCCTGAGGTTGAGTGCACCTATGTCTGGAGGCAGACCCCTTCCCAATGAGCCCCCTCCCAGGCTCCTGCATCTCAGCCTGCTTCAAATCTTCCACCCAAACTCTCCCTGCCTCTGAGCAGGCTCAGTCATTCTTAAGGGCAGTTCTGACTCCATGCCAAGCCTCCTGCCTGAAGATTGTCCAGGATCCTTCAAAAGTGCAGGCCAGCTCCTCCTCACCCCTGCTCACCGTGTTCTAGAGACTTCTCCAAATCTCTAGATCAATGGGAGGTACATTGAGCTGATCTGCAGAGCCTTTCAGCCCTGACCTGAATTTGGCCCCCTCTGACTATCACCCAGACTGCTACTCAGCCTTCTAGCTAAAAACATAGTTTTCTAGCTACCCCTAGCTAACAAGGAGGGTGCTACACGTGTAATACCATACTCTACTTTCAAAGTAAAGATAAACATTGATGAGTGTATTTACAGTTGCAAGAAAAAGTATGTGAACCCCTTGGGATTACGTGGAGTTTTGCATGAATTGGGCATAAAATGTGCTCTGAACGTCATCTAAGTCACAACAATAGAAGAACACAGCCTGCTGAACATAATACTACACAAACATTAGATGTTGCCATGGTTTAATTGCACATAACATGTAAACATTCACAGTGCAGGGAGGAAAAAGTATGTGAGGCCCTAGCTTACTGACTTCTCCCAGAGCTAATTGGAGCCAGGAGTGAGCCAACCTTGACTCCAATCAGTGTGATGATATTGGATGTGTTGCTGACAGCTGTCCTGCCCTTAAAAAACACACACCTGTTTTGGGTTTACTGGTTTCAAGAAGCACTGTCTGATGTGAACCATGCCTCGCAGAAAAGAGCTCTCAGAAGACCTACGATCAAGAATTGTTGACTTGCATGAAGCTGGAAAGGGTTACAAAAGTATCTCCAAAAGCCTTGATGTTCATGTGTCCATGGTAAGACAGAGTGTCTACAAATGCAGAAAGTTTAGCACTGTTGCTACTCTCCCTAGGCGTGGTCGTCCTGTAAAAATTACTGCAAGAGCACAGCGCAGAATGCTGCATGAGGTAAAGAAGAATCCCAGAGTGTCAGCTAAAGAATGGAGTACATGGGAGGACACCACGGAGGAAGCCATTACTGTCCTAAAAGAATATTGCAGCATGTTGGAAGTTTGCAAAAGAGCACCTGGATGTTCCACAGCACTACTGGCAAAATATACTGTGGACAGATGAAACCAAGATTGAGTTGTTTGGGAAGAACACACAACACTATGTGTGGAGAAAAAAAGGCACAGCACACCAACATCAAAACCTCATCCCCACTGTGAAACATGGCGGAGGTACCATCATGGTTTGGGGTTGGGGCTGCTTTGCTGCCTCAGGGCCTGCACGGATTGTTGTCATTGATGGGAAAATGAATTCCAGAGTTTATCAAGACATTTTACAGCAAAACGTACGACCATTTGTCTGCCAACTGAAGCTCCGCAGAGGATGGGTGATGCAACAGGACATGACCCAAAGCATACAAGTAATTCAACAAAACAATGGCTGCAACAGCACAGAATACACTTTCTGGAGTGGCCCAGTCAGGGTCCTGACCTCAACCCAATTGAAATGCTGTGGTATGACCTTAAGAGAGCGATTCACACCAGACATCCCAAGAATATTGCTACACTGAAACAGTTTTGTGAAGAGGAGTGGTCCAAAATGACTCCAGATCGTTGTGCAGGTCTGATCTGCAACTACAGGAAACGTTTGGTTGAGGTTATTGCTGCCAAAGGAGGGTCAACCAGTTATTAAGTCCAAAGGTTCACATACTTTTTCCTCCCTGCACTGTGAATGTTTACCATGGCAACATCTAATGTTTGTGTAGTATTATGTTCAACAGACTATGTTCTTCTATTGTTGTGACTTAGATGACATTCAGAGCACATTTTATGCCCAATTCATGCAAAACTCCACGTAATCCCAAGGGGTTCACATACTTTTTCTTGCAACTGTATGTACAGATGGAGAAATGTGTATATGGACAATGACAGCGTGCCCACTTTAAATACACTTAATACAGCACATTCTTCTGTTATTTAATGTACCGTGAGCTGTCATTATCATAATAATAAAAAACGGGTTCCTCTTATGGCATGCTGGGTAATTGTATATACTGTATTCAGTGAGCACACTAGGCTCTGGGACTTTTCCTGGATAGAAATAGTCCAGCCTGGTGTGGGCATATTGCCCTCCCAGGCAAAAGCTACCACATCTACTGTTTGGAGGATTCAGGTAGGTGACCTGAGGGCCTGAATGCTGAGACCTGGGTTTTGCTAAGAGCTGACTGAGATCTGGTCCGGTATTATGAAAGAAGACAACCAACTGTTCTTGGGCCTTGTGAGTACAGACACCTCTGAAAGGATCTTAGAGACTTTGAGTTGCAAAAACCCCTCTGGTGCTAAAGAGCCAGCTGCAAGTCTAGCTAAAGGAGACACCAGCTAGTGTCCTGAACAACTTTGTCCATCTATCCTTCTTCTTAAAGGAATGCTGCTCTTAGGGTTCTTAGAAAGAAAGTTACAGATGACTGCTACTACTACTACTACTAATACTACTACCTTAAACCTGAAGTCCACTGTTTGCTACAAGCATGGACTTTAATATAGCTTGTTCTGAAGAATATCCAACTCCTAAGGTGTACAAAGGTGTACTATCCTCAAGCGTACTAACCAAGTTCTCCAAAATTTAAAAAAAAAAAAAAAACAACACCTCTAGACTGGTCATTGGAGAAAACCAGTGAATGAGCTGTGTGCCTGGCTTTCCGGGTAAAGATTGTGGGGAAACCTGGACAGTATTCCTCCAGCAGAGCAGCGCTACAGTGGCCATAGAGAAAATGTCAAACAATAACTTTAATCTAGTTTAATTTTCTGAACTACTACCAACCTTTGACGTTGATCTTAAAGTTGATCTTCTGTCCAGCCACCTCACAAGTGTATTCTCCAGCATCTTTCTTCTCCACCTGCTCCACCACCAGATGCCGAGATTTACCTTCAATCTCCACCCTCATTTTCTTGCTGGAGGTGATCAGTTTCCCTTCCTTGTACCACTTCACCTCCATCTTTTCTTGGGCCACCTGACAGCTCAGGGTGGCCTTCTCTGACACCACAGCCTGGACTTCCTTCTGGACCTTGTCCAGGCTGGTGAATGCCGGCTCTGGTTCTGAAATACAAGAACATTTAAGATGACCAATTAGAGCGGTAAATCACTTACAGAATCAGATCAACCTGTAGCCAATAAAACAATTAGAACATTTTCTTGAAACTGACCTGTAGCCAGTCAGATCATACACAGGACCCAAAATCAACTGCTACATGAATATCTCATTCCAGTTAAGTGTGTACATTTTCCTCAGACGTTTTTACACAAAAACTTTATAAATGAAATAACTGTAGTACATGTGCCTAGAATAGCTACTGCCTACAGCTTAGTATCCTACTAACCTTTGACGTTGATCTTAAAGTTGATCTTCTGTCCAGCGGCCTCACAGGTATATTCTCCAGCATCTTTCTTTTCAACTTGTTCCACCACCAGGAGCCGAGATTTACCCTCAGACTCCACCCTCACTTTCTTGCTGGAGGTGATCAATTTCCCGTCTTTGTACCACTTCACCTCTGTCTTCTCCTGGGCCACCTCACAGCTCAGGGTGGCCTTCTCTGACACCACAGCCTGGACCTCTTTCTGGACCTTGTCCAGACTGGTGAATGCCGGCTCTGGTTCTGAAATACAAGAACATTTAAGATGACCAATTAGAGCGGTAAATCACTTACAGAATCAGATCAACAGGTCGCCAATCAAACATTTCGAACAGTTTCTTGAAACTGACCTGTAACCAGTCAGATCATACACAGGACCCCAAACCACCAGCTACATGAATGTTTCATTCCAGTTAAGTGTGTACATTTTCCTCAGACATTTTTACACAAAATCTTTATAAATGAAATAACTGTAGCATGAGCCTAGAATAGCTACTGCCTGCGATAGTATCCTACTAACCTTTGACGTTGATCTTAAAGTTGATCTTCTGTCCAGCGGCCTCACAGGTATATTCTCCAGCATCTTTCTTTTCAACCTGTTCCACCACCAGGCGCCTAGATTTACCCTCAGACTCCATCCTCACTTTCTTGCTGGAGGTGATCAATTTCCCTTCCTTGTACCACTTCACCTCTGTCTTTTCCTGGGCCATCACACAGCTCAGGGTGGCCTTCTCTGACACCACAGCCTGGACCTCTTTCTGGACCTTGTCCAGACTGGTGAATGCCGGCTCTGGTTCTGAAATACAAGAACATTTAAGATGATCAATTAGAGCAGTAAATCACTTACAGAATCAGATCAACAGGTCGCTAATCAAACATTTAGAACAGTTTCTTGAAACTGACCTGTAACCAGTCAGATCATACACAGGACCCCAAACCAACAGCTACATGAATGTTTCATTTCAGTTAAGTGTGTACATTTTCCTCAGACATTTTAAACACAAAATCTTTGCAAATGAAATAACTGTAGAACATGAGCCTAGAATAGCTACTGCCTACAGCTTAGTATCCTACTAACCTTTGACGTTGATCTTAAAGTTGATCTTCTGTCCAGCGGCCTCACAGGTATATTCTCCAGCATCTTTCTTTTCAACATGTTCCATCACCAGGCACCTAGATTTACCCTCAGACTCCACCCTCACTTTTTTGCTGGAGGTGATCAATTTCCCGTCTTTGTACCACTTCACCTCTGTCTTCTCCTGGGCCACCTCACAGCTCAGGGTGGCCTTCTCTGACACCACAGCCTGGACCTCTTTATGGACCTTGTCCAGACTGGTGAATGCCGGCTCTGGTTCTGGAATACAAGAACATTTAAGATGACTAATTAGAGCAGTAAATCACTTACAGAATCAGATCAACATGTCGCCAATCAAACATTTAGAACATTTTCTTGAAACTGACCTGTAACCAGTCAGATCATACACAGGATCCAAAACCAACTGTTGCATGAATATCTCATTCCAGTTAAGTGCGTGAATTCTCCCCAGATGTTTTAACACAAAATCTTTACAAATGAAATAACTGTAGTACATGAGCATAGAATATCTACTGCCTGCAGCATAGTAGACTACTAACCTTTGACGTTGATCTTAAAGTTGATCTTCTGTCCAGCGGCCTCACAGGTATATTCTCCAGCATCTTTCTTTTCAACCTGTTCCACCACCAGGTGCCGAGATTTACCCTCAGACTCCACCCTCACTTTCTTGCTAGAGGTGATCAATTTCCCGTCTTTGTACCACTTCACCTCTGTCTTTTCCTGGGCCATCACACAGCTCAGGGTGGCCTTCTCTGACACCACAGCCTGGACCTCTTTCTGGACCTTGTCCAGACTGGTGAATGCCGGCTCTGGTTCTGAAATACAAGAACATTTAAGATCACCAATTAGAGCAGTAAATCACTTACAGAATCAGAACAACAGGTCGCCAATCAGACATTTAGAACAGTTTCTTGAAACTGACCTGTAATTAGTCAGATCATACACAGGATCCAAAACCAACTGTTGCATGAATATCTCATTCCAGTTAAGTGTGTACATTCTCCCCAGATGTTTTAACACAAAATCTTTACAAATGAAATAACTGTAGAACATGAGCCTAGAGTAGCTACTGCCTGTGATAGTATCCTACGAACCTTTGACGTTGATCCTAAAATTGATCTTCTGTCCAGCGACCTCACAGATATATTCTCCAGCATCTTTCTTCTCAACCTGTTCCACCACCAGGTGCCGAGATTTACCCTCAGACTCCACCCTCACTTTCTTGCTGGAGGTGATCAATTTCCCGTCTTTGTACCACTTCACCTCTGTCTTCTCCTGGGCCACCTCACAGCTCAGGGTGGCCTTCTCTGACAAGGTAGCCTGGACTTCTTTTTGGACCTTTTCCTGATGAATGAATGCCGGCTCTGGTTCTGTAACAAAAGCATGAACCAAAATAGGTCTGTTGTTCCCATTATTTTGAGGCTGTCTGAAAAAATGTCTATCAGGATTTCCTTCAAGCATTTTACTGTGCAGATGCAGATGGAGGTTAGCTGACAATTCAAGCTTATAGAGTCCTCACAAAGGTGGTGAAGAGTGATCCTTCTCTCTCCATAACCCTAGTGAGATTCAGCGATGCCCAAAAAATTATAACTGAAAGCAGTCATAAATCTAACATAAAACATGTAGTCTAATGAGTCAATCCACAATATGGCCAGAACTGCATTGGCTCTTCAAGACTTCTTCACGTTTTTGGTTATTTTGTGTGGACAATGAGACTTTTGGATGGCTAAACGTATATGTGTAATATTTTTAGATTAGATATCATAATAAACTAAAGAAGTAAAGGAACTGGAGGGTTTTAGCTACCTTTGACGTTGATTTTGAAGTTGACTTTCTTTCCAGCAGCCTCACAAGTATATTCTCCGGCATCCTTCTTCTCTACCTGCTCTACCACCAGACGGCGTGATTTACCCTCAGTCTCCACCCTCACTTTCTTGCTGGAGGTGATCAATTTCCCTTCTTTGTACCATTTCACCTCAGTCTTCTCCTGGGCCACCTCACAGCTCAGGGTGGCCTTCTCTGACACCACAGCCTGGACCTCTTTTTGAACCTTGTCCAGACTGATAAATGCCTGCTCTGGTTCTAAAATACAAAAAAATTTAACATTTCATTAAATATTGTATTCATGAATATACAGTATAAAGCATGAAAATGCTACTTGCCTGGATGTCTCTGGATTTATTATGGAGTCAATAACCTACATTAAATATGTAGCCACTGAAGTCCTAGCTCCTGATGTGTATACTTGTTTGGGGTATTGGTCAAAGTATTGGAGCCATCAAATCAATATGACAGAAAGGAAGTTTTTTTCAGGTGGTATTCAGGAATGGCAGTCGAAATATATCCCTCATACATAAGAGCTTTTTGTTTGGCTATTACATTTATTTGAAAAGAGGCAAAAAGTCTGAAATTTGGTGAATTGAAACATTTACAAAGTAGACAACCTGTAGCCAGTCAGGGCATTGGAACTTTCATAGGTGCAGACCAAGTTGGCTTATCAAGTAATTCATACAACTGCTGCAGCCAACAATCTACCAGAGCAACGCTTGAAGCACCAGAATGAATTGCATCCAATTAGTGAGTTAGGAGTTTTACAGGAAACTGGCCTGTAGCTATTTAGCTCATTAGAACATATATAGGACCCACCCAATCATCCCTCTGCAGACATTTGTAGTCATAAAGCTTTAAGAAAGACTGTCCTAAAAAATATCTCTCTGGAGAAGCTATTGTTTGTTATCCCATGATCCTGCTAACCTTTGACGCTGATCTTAAAGTTGATCTTCTGTCCGGCGGCCTCACAGGTATATTCTCCGGCATCCTTCTTCTCCACCTCTTCTACCACCAGATGCCGTGATTTACCCACAGTCTCCAGCTTCAGTTTCTTGCTGGAGGTGATCAACTTCCCGTCCTTGTACCACTTCACCTCCATCTTCTCCTGGACCACCTCACAGTTAAGGGTGGCCTTCTCCGACAAGATAGCTTGGACCTCTTTCTGGACCTTGTCCAGATGGATGAAAGCTGGCTCTGGTTCTGTAAATAAAACACAATTACTTGGGTCTGTTGTTTGCAAATATGAGGAAACCGAGCAACACGATGTTTGAAACTTCCCTGGTTTCTACAAACTTACTAAACTAACAACAAAACCCCACCAGATTCCTTAGAAGCAGGTGTGGAGACTTGGACAAGCTCTTTTTTTGGTTGATCTCAATTCTAGAGTTCAAAATCTATCTAAGACCTAATTTTCAGTTTTGGAATTATGTTCCTCTCGGTTTTAATGGTGAACTTAATTTGGAAATTCCCTGCACAATGTAGGCTATTTAATTGAAATATATTTGATTCTAAAATGCACAATTTAGAGATTTCAGAGGTTGCTGAGGAATCAGAAGTGAATATAGATCTTCAACTGAATAAACAGAAATACAAACCCTTTGGCAGGTTAAACAGCAAACATGTATGTATTTCATATGTATATTTAGCTATTTGCATGAGGTTCTGCTCAAAGCATTAGCTTTAGGGCCTGTGTCGATAGGCTTTGCACTTACAGTATGTCTATGGCATTAAAGCAGAACTTAACCCAAAAGGGGAAGATCCACTTGTGGCATCCTCCTCCCCTCCACTGCCAAATGTAACACTTTTTAGGGGGAGCAGGTACCTGGTTTTGACAGGTATACGTTCTTACTTCTGGGTCAGATTGCTGCGTCATCTGTGAGGAAGATTGGTCCCCTCCTTCATCCCCCTGTAGCACTCTGGGACACACACAGGACTGCAGGGCAATTCACAAAGTGTGGAGCGGTTCTCATATGCTCAGCAGGAAACCATCTGTGAAGCCAAAAAAGCTTCACTGCCGGTTTCCCTTACCTAAGAAGCCGTCACTTACACCCAATGCCAACTGAAGAATCGGCTCGGGTGTGGACATCACTGGATCCATGGACAGGTAAGTGTACGTATATTAAAAGTTTGCAGCTACAGTATTTGTAGCCGCTGACTTCATTTTCTGGGGGGGGGGGGGGGAACTGGAGCTCCTCTTTAACACTCATTTGTGATGCTTCTGAGATCATTCAGAATACATTGATAGGTGCATCTGAGCCTTCTTCTAAATTGCCTTTGACCTGCTACAAGCAGGTTTTGCATTCCCATTGTATTAGAATGAGAAACCCCTTAGAGACAAACAAGAGCTTTTTGACACAGGCCCTTAGATATTTAAAAATGATGTCATAATGTCATTGGCCCTCAAAATTTCACCTTTAACACTACAAACAAATGTCATAAATGATTTCAACAATCTGTTCCTGGAATCTTGCTAACCACTTAAACTGTTGCTGGGAAAATTCACCACCATGCCACCCAACCTTTAACGCATTTCAAGAAGAGATGTCACCACAGTTCGCATATACAGCAGATTTCTAGTTAGCAATTGAACCTTTAGGGGCCTATGTACATGGGCTTTCGGTTAGAGCTGCATGTCTTTCCTTGCAAAGTCAATAGGAATGCAAAAGCATGTTTGATGGACATTAAAAAATAAGTCAGCCGCAGGTTCGAAGAACTTAAGAAGGCACTCAAATCTGATCTCAAATGCAAACTCAATGCACTTGAAAGTATGATGCATTTGTCCATCAACATCTAAATTTATCCACCTTCTTGCAACTCAACATCCTTTAAGTGATAGGAAAAATTAATCTCACCTTTTATGTTGACCTTGAAGTTGATCTTCTGTCCAGAGGTCTCACAGGTATATACCCCGGCATCGTTCTTCTCCACCTGCTCCACCACCAAACACCGAGATCTACCCTCAGTCTCCACCTTCAGCTTCTTGCTGGATGTGATCAGTTTCCCATCTTTGTACCACTTCACCTCCGTCTTCTCCTGAGCCACTTCACATCTCATGGTGGTCTTCTCTGACAAGATAGCCTGGACCTCTTTCTGCACCTTGTCCAAGTTGGTGAAGGCTGGCTCTGGTTCTAATAAAGATATAATATTAAGATATAAAATATAGATAATTCTGTTATTTTTCATACTTTTTATTTGTTCTAAATATGGCTCAATCAATATTTTGTAAAAGCCAAACCCAGAGGAATCATATGTGTTAATTATAGCTAAAAAACGTTAAACTGATGACTTAAGAGAATGGGAAACAAGTAGAAGGATTTTAAAAAAGGTCCTCATATTGGCAGCAGAGTTTTGGCAGAAAAAACACCTGACGCTTGTCAAAGTGTCTAACGTTTACAAGCGTTTAGGCGCGGTTACAAGCATCAAGCGTCAGGAATGGACTCGCCAATGGTGGTGGGACTCACCTGCCTTGTGGGCTGCAGTACCAGGCGAGCGGCCAGCGGGTGTTTCTCAGCAACCAGAAGCTCACTCCTGCAATCAGCCATCACCTGAGGCTGATTGCAGGAGGTGTATTTAAGGAATTGCCAGACCTGCAGTCAGTGCCTTGGTGTTTGTTTCCCATGGGCCTTGTTTCCTGTATCCTGTCTCCTGCCTGCTCGACTCTCCTGCTTGACTCTGATAGAACTCCGCCTGCACTGACCCCGGCTATTCCTGACCATTCTTCTGCCTGCTCCCGTTGTACCTTTCTGCCTGATTGTTCCTGACCCGGCCTGACTGACCACTCCACCTCTCCAGCCCTGACTGCACCTGTACCTATTAGTTTAAGTTTTGTTTTGCACTGTGTTTGTTTATTTTGTGCAGCTCATAATAAATATTATTATTATTTAATCATTTCTGAAGCCTGCTGTTTCCCTGTGTCAGTCCACACATCTCTGGTCATACCTGGATCCCTGACGCCTCTAGCAATAACAGGTGTTTAGGTGCGCTTACACGCATTTACACGCGTCAAGTGTTTTTTTGTCCAAAACACAGCTGCTGCTGCTGGACGCACTGGCCCTGGGTTTTGTTTTTTCTGCTGGTAAACGCTACTGTTACTAAATGCATCTAAAAGTCTATGTGTGCATGGAAATATAGGATAACATGGAGGGCCGTTTGGAAGCAGTATAAGAAACACCTGACGCCCCTAAAAGTGGCTGCAAAAATGCCCTGTGTGCATGAGACCCTAAGCAAGCTCTCACTAAACTCTTTAGTGTTAGGCACTGTAGAGCAATTAATCCTCAATATTTATTACACAAGTAATTTTACTTTGTAAATAGAAGGTCAGCTTCCCCTTC